GTGGACTTTTGGCTCGAAAGATGGCTTGCACACACAGGCAATACTTGGTTTGAGGAATGGACAGAGAAGTACAGGTTTAGCAAAGGAGATCTTGTAGTCTCGATTTTCAGACACAAATCTTTGCACGAATCTAAGTGGCGTCGGTTCAAGCCACTAAAAGTGACCAGTTCAGACAGACCAAACATTGTATTTAGCGTGTAGTCCTACAGGCCTCCTACCTCGCACACACAAGGCTCGAAACCAGGTTGTGAGGATGAGACCTGGCCAAGGCCGAGGCCGAAGCCGTAGCTGAATAGCCGGCAAAGTGGAATCAAATAAATCGAGACAACTCATGCTTCTGACAGCTGAAGATAGTCTATTAGTACAGAGGGCATTACATACTCAGAGAAAATCGGTTCACATAGCACAGCAATAGGCCAGCTACCACGACACATCAGTCCGAAAATGTAGTCAGAAACGCTTCTGGTAACGACAAGGAATCTGAATGAAACATGAGAAAATATTCACACTTTAACTATCAGCTTTTCGGCCTATGTGACTTAAGCTGACTACGCCCTTATTCATAACAAAATACAAATGTAACCGTAAGAGAAATAAAGATTGACAAAGTCAGATAAAATCAACCCTCAGGGAAAAGTTAGTTGGAATGCATGCACTTTCTGTATTTGTGGAATAGTTGTATAGCGGGAAGGAAGGGGTTGCGCAAAGGTCTTCAAGCGAGCCAAAAGGCCAGTACAATTATGCGATGATTGTCAGCCACCACGAAAAGTTTGACACTCTCATTTTCAATCAATGCGTTCTCTGAGAAGAGAAAAGCTTAACAGTGGTTTAGTGGACCTGTACATTTGCAGAGTAATCCACATCCTACCTAACTATTCATCTCAGGATGAAGATTATACTCAGAATAAGCAGGTTTGGAGGCCAAAAGTAGACCTTGAATAAGAATTGTAGTGGTCCTGGGTCATGTAAGATGATGATGAATAATGATAGTTGAATTTAGCCACGGAGTAGAGATGAAATTTGATTAATTAATTATTTAATAAAAGATGCTCTATATAGCTTTTGAGGTGACATCAAATTGTGTCTGCACCATCTCGAGGTAATACGCTTAAAAAATGTGGGCAAAAGGCGCCACTGATAATGGAGAGAGGAGTAGCTGCAAGCAAAAAAGTGCCCACCTCTGGGGGGTTTTCGTCCCTGCTACTAAGGTTGTTGCCTCCTACTGCGGGCCCACCTCCACCGGAACTCACACTTAACTTGTGTGGATGGCGATGGTGATGATGATGGTGATGATGCTGTTGCTGCTGTTGTTGTTGTGACCCTGGTGGAGTGGCTGTACATATACCCTCAGAGGCTGCATTGCCCGAGTCTGGAATTTCCGCGACTGCCGACGAGGAGGGAGGCACAAGAGGACAGGCTGCATCGGAGAGGGTCGTGGAGACACGAGACCGATTCTCGCCAGAAGTGGATGGTGTCCCGACGACAACGTCTGCAGATGAAGCTCCAGCAGAAGCCAGGCGTCTGCGCCGCTCTAGCTCATTTAGAAAGCGCTGATTTGGACATCGCACAAAATGAGAGGATAAAGAGAAGTGAAAATAGATCGCTATAAGCGGCAATAATGGCAGTCAAAAGCAAGATAAGAGGAGTAAGTAAAAGTTACCCTTGTAAGATGAATAAGAACTTTGTCAAACCAGGTCGGTGAAGTTGAATTAAAGGCTGTCAGTGGAACTTCGCCCGTAATTGTATGAGTGGGTCCCGCTATGCAACTGAATTTCAAAGGCAACAACCGCATCTTCAGTTAGCAGGAGTGTAGACATTATCGTTTTTACGTAGAAATGAAAGCCGAGATGACGTAGCCTTTGGCTTGGTCGCAATCACCTTTAGCTGCATAGTGTTGGTTTGACCTCATTTTCGCAACTTGATCGAAACGACAGGAAGACCTTGTGAAACGTAGCAAGTCCTGCAGCAATTGCTCTCAAGCCTTGATGATGATTTCCAGCATCAAACCGTTGACTGTGTAAATTTTCAGACCTGCCATCGGCATTGTTAATGGGAGGCTTCATCCTTATCCCAGAGTTGAAACGTATCGAAATACAGTGATTACAGCAGACCAGACTTTGATTAGTTGTAACTCTGAGCTAAAGAGTATGCATATCAATAACGATGCCAACAAAGGGTATTGGAATGTACCAATTCTACGTTCCGATACGGGAAATCATCAGGAATTCTATGGCGGAGGAGGTAGAGCTAGGCAAGTTCCACAAAAATTCTCAATGGCTCCGATCAAGTTGGGAGAACGAGGTCAAACCAACATTATCTTGTATATAAGAAGAAAATGCCTAGGAAAGTGTCAAAGTTTCTATGGAAACTGTATTTATACACCTCTTTATCACTAGTTCTTCCATCTTCTTAAAAAGAATACATGAGAAAAGGTCTCGGTCTGCCTAGCTCTAACCAAATACTCTCCGCCTGAAAATTTATTCCTCACTAAGGATAAATTATTATCAATTAAGCCAAATTAAGCTATGATTAGAAGGAAAATTAAGAACAAAACCAGCATATGCTAGTTTGCTAGAGGCATTCCTGCTTAACCTACCCTCTTCCCTAATAAACATAACATTCAAAATGTAATTTCCTATTTTCTTTTAATTTCATTGCGAATTAAATCTTTATTTGACGCTGGTTAAGTGAAAAGAGGAAAATATCTAACCTGCTTTTACTGTGTCGCCAAATCCGAAAACAATCATCCAGATATATAACAAACAATTTAGCAGTCAGAATTATCTCTTGCCTTCCTTAAAACTTCCTCAAACTTAGCCGTGTAGCTATTTGCGAATATTGGAACTAAACAAGAGCTCATTGCTAATTCTTGAATCTGTTCATAAAACTTAACGTCAAAGGTGAAATATGTACTACTCATGAATAGTTTAAGGAGCCTTAGAATGGAGGCTATACCCAACTTAATTTCCTCTGTAATCTCTCAATACTCCTCCAGAGTGAACATTAGGGCCTGAATGGCTACTTAAACTGGAATATTTGTGTAAATTAATACCACGTCAAAACTTACTAGCACATATTTTTCTAAAACATTTTGCTGGTCCGATAGGAATTTTTAACCGAAAGAAACAGAGATTCTGCCAATTTTCTTAATTATTTTTCGTATATAAGTAGAGTTTCGAGAGTACAAGTATATAAATCTCAAATTTTCATAATGAATGATTATATGCATAATACTACTCCCATAGTTGGTAATCAATCCAAGGGGAAACTTTTCTATATGCACCTTTGTAAGGCTATAAGCAGAGGGTTCCCTAGCATTCCTTGAAGAAGGGAAGTCATTTTCCACTTCTGGACATGAGTTTGAATGGTCTCGTACGCAGGGATTTGCTAATTATGGTACGTCAGCTACGAAATGCAAGATATGAGAGGCTATTGAAATTAAGAGATAAGAGAACACATTAAATGTGAGGAATGGTGGTAGAAAGTTGAGTAAGAACTACTCGTGTCTGATTGAAAGATTGAAGGAGAGTGTTGAGCTGCCGTCCAAAAGAAGACGACCCAACTTGTCAAATGGCCGAAGTGCAACGCGAACTAGCTAACATATTTTGGTGAGATTGACATACGAATTTCTTCATAATGCACTTCCATACAAATAAGGGCCTTCACATCAACGTTATCTTTTCTATTATGTTTTTTTCATTTCGAGTGAAAGTGCTTGATAAAGAGATTTAGTCAAGGTCCGTCCCATCAGAAGATGACGGCGGATTCTTCACGACTAGCTGTCATTTCCATGACTGGAGTACTCTTAATATGAGATGTATTCTCCCAATTTCGTTTAAGGTGATGGAGGACTGGTAGAAGAATTTTCTTACAATGATATGAGTAGTCCTGACGTTTCCATTGAATTTCACATAGCCTTGCTTTCCAAAAAGTTGTTCTCATCCAAAGTGGACTGAAGTTTCGACATCAACACCCCCAGCGGGAGTCGAACCGTGACAGTGCAGAATGGGAGCTTGACACGTTAACAACTCGGCC